GATCCTCTGATCATCGATTGGCTTTTGAAAAGAAGATATGAAATCCACTCTTAATTGGGTAGTGGCCATCCATCGAAAAACTTCAAAACAATGAATCTCTTGTCTACGAATGCTCAACGGAATGGATAAGATTTCAACTTCTTCGTGAGGAGAGAAAATAGCATTAATTGTAGGTCCCTATAAGCTACATACAAGAGAGCGGTGAATTGTGTAGCATATAAATTTTTGGCTTTCAAAAGATCTTTTTCTAAACATAGTAGACGCGCAATAATATTCAGATAATTTCTAGATTTTAAAGTCATATAACTCACTTAAGCATAAAGATTATCTATCATACTTTATCGATCATCAAGTCCAAAAAATACCTCACTAAACTGGACAACTTTATAACTCAGAAATAGTTTTTATTTAAAGCAATATTAATCACAAAGATTCAACATATAAGAACATAAAGTGATTGAATAATCAAGATAAAATGTGTGTAAAAAAAAAAAGCAATATCACAACGAGAAAGTGATGTGGAACCCAAGAATTGTGTCTTGACACCCCAAATTAGATTTAATATATAAACTCTGAATCCCAAATTAAGAACCCTAATTCCCAAATTAAGTATGGAATCATGAATCTTGACCCAATACTTAACTAGAAGTATGAACTAGATATATCAAGGTGAAAGGATGAACACCACAAAGATTAATTATCTTTGATAAGTCTGAAAGCAAGTTCAATGAAGAACCAAAGAGAATTCGCCTCTCTTGAAATAAAATGCATAAACTGAAATACATCCCAATCTTTATCGTACAATACTAAAAACTAAGTATTTATAAGCTAAGAAACCTTAAAATTAAATAAAACATAAAGCCCGGTTTAATAGGCCCAATTATACTGATTAAAATATAGAACTAAATAAAATTCTCAAAGCCCACATGTTTGGATCATGTTAACAATTATACTGATTAAAATATAGAACTAAATAAAATTCTCAAAGCCCACATGTTTGGATCATGTTAATTAGCCTTGGATCTTCTTTTAAGTCTATCTCTTCATAATCACCGAAGCTTGTTGATTTTCATTATTGGACACGGATCATATGCTCTTTCTTGAAATGGATTTGTCCTCAAATTCGAATCTTTATTGCTGCATAAGTATGTTGTTGTATCCCTTCCTTTAAGTGAAACTGGATCAATGCATACCCCCGATCAAATGGAAAGTTATTGAATCTCTTATCTTGCATAGGATCAAACTAATCAATAGAAGTGCTCTCCCTTTAGTTCCAGAATCTTCATTTTATCAAAGTATGTATCCAATTTTTGCACTTTTGAGTACCTGCTATAAATTACAATAAAATCAAGGTTAACACTATCACAACTATCAATAAATTTAATAAATTTACAAAGATTATATTTTATTGGTTGCACAAAAGTGCTATGCAACTCCTTTTAAGTATAAAGTTTACCCAATGTATAATTCCTTCAATAGACAACGGTTTCATCTTGCAATTCCACTTAGCTATAATAGAATTCTCTTCTACTAGTTGTATCTTTTCCATTTTCTCTTCAATTAATGGCTCTAATTTACCCTTGATCATAAATAAACTTTCTCCTTTTCTTTTCTCTAATAAAAGATTATTAGCTTGTACTTGTTGTGAATTAAGAGGTACTAAGTTTATTTTTCTTCCATCCTTCATTAAAGAACAAGTTCCTTTGGCTTTATCATGATTAGCATGCCTATTAACATGCCATGGTTTTCTTAAAAGCAAGTGACTAGAACTCGTTGAAGTCACATCACACCATCCTTCATTAAAGAACAAGTTCCTTTGGCTTTATCATGATTAGCATGCCTATTAACATGCCATGGTTTTCTTAAAAGCAAGTGACTAGAACTCGTTGAAGTCACATCACATAATATCTTATCTTTGTACCTGCTTATTGAAAATAGAACTAGAATTTATGTAGTCACCCTTACCTCACTATCTTTGTTTAGCCACTGAAGCTTGTATGGATTAGAGTGTATGGTAGTAAATAATCCTAGTTTTTCTATAAAGTAAGTAGAAGCTACATTGACACAACTGTATTATCAATAATAATTCTACTAATCTTATTACTGTTTATTAAGAACGTAGTGTGAAATACCATCACCTTATGCTCATCATTATTATTTCCATAAGCATTAGGAACATGCCTTAGTTACCTTCTTTTGCAAGTTATCAATAAGTGCATCATGTTTTTCCCTTCTATGTCTTATCTCTTCAACCATCATAATCACGTGCTCAAACTGTTTTTATATAGCTTGAAGAATAGAAAATTCATCTTGCTGCTTTACGTCATTATATTTGTTAAACATGATAATAAATTGACAAAAACTGAAATAAATAGAACCAAACAATAACAAGAAATATGGCAACAATAATTTTTTATTTCAACAAAAGAACAAGAATAAGATGATTTAACATTAAAACAAGCATATCAGAAGGAAACAGAAGAAAATGAAAAGCAAACTTAAACAAATGGAAGCATATTGAAACAAACGGAAACAAACAAAATCAAATGGAAACAAACGAAAGCAAAAGGAATCAAATGGAAGCAAACAGAATCAAACGGAAGTAAATGGAATCAAATGAAAACAAATAGAATCAAATGAATATAAACGAAAAAAAAATATAGATAGAATCTGATTTGAGCCAACGCTCTGATACCAAATAATGCGAAACCCTAGGAATTGTGTCTTGACACCCAAAATCAGATTTGATATATAACCCTAAATCCCAAATTATGAATTTCTTCTTAGATAGAATTGTGGATCTTGACTCAATACTCAACTAGAAGTATAAACCAAAGATATCAAGGTGAAAGGATAGCGCCATAATGATTAATTATCTTTGATAAGTTCGAAAGCAAGTTCAATGAATCACCAAAGATAATTCACCTCTGTTGAAATAAAACGCATAAATTGAAATTTTTCTCAATCTCTTCCTTAATACTAAAAACTAAGTATTTATAAACTAAGAAATACTAAAAATTAAATAAAAAATAAAGCTCTATTTAAATAGACCCAATTACGCTAATTAAAATATAAAACTAATTAAAAGACTCAAAATCCATATGTTTAGATCATGTTAATTAGGATTGGATCTTCTTTTAAGTACATCTCTCCATGATCACCATGAGCTTATTGATTTTCATTATTGGACACACATCAGAAAGAGAAAACGAGAAAAATCAACACCAAGAATTATAGTGGTTCAATATTTCTCATGCCTACATTCATTCCTCAAGAAATCATCTTGAGATCTTCCACTATCAAACTCTTTTCAGAGGCAAGAGTAGAGCCAAATACAATAGAAAAAGCCCTAACACCTAGAATTAACCATATCCCACAAGTTTTTCAAAAGACTTGTAAATTTCCCTTATAGTTTTTATTAAAGAACTAAATAAACTTAACCTTACTAGTTTTTACAATGAACTAGGAGATTTAAATTGTTTTGGCAAAGAATAATGAAACTTGTAAGCCTTGCTCTTACTCAAAGAAGGGTACTTGAATATCCATACAATACAAGCTTCACACAAAGTTTTTCACTCACAACAATTTGAGATTAAAAGAGTTCTAATCTATTCTAAATTTACAAAATTTATAGTAGATAGAATGATATGCAAAGTAGGCCTAGGAAAGAGATTTTTATAAATAAAACATATTAGTTTTGAAAATCTCTCTCTAAAGATTGATTACAATCTTCTCTTATAATTTATGCAAGGAAAGAATGAAGAAGAAGGATATCAAGATAAGAGAGTTTGTAAGATGAAAACACAAAATCAGTTTTATCTCTCATACCTTAGAATTTCCGCCGAGCTTTTGATTTAGACCCAGAATTCTTATTCTTCTCGTTAGCTAGAGAAGTTAACATTAGAAAGGGGAGAGAAGAAATGATAAAGTTATCGCTAGAAGTATGGGAGAGATGGAAGGATTTTTGGGCTAAAAGAGCTAGATTAGGTAATGGGTCTTTTCTTTGACAAGCCCAATGTAGATTTCAAATTAAAAAATATTTTCCGTAAAAATCTTTTAAATCACAATTTGGATAGTTTAAATTTTGAAACAACTTGTGAAATAAAATTTTCCCTTGAAATCTTCTTTTTACTTTAACAAGATACTAATTAATCCTAAAATACCTACAAACAAATTTTAATTCTTCAAGGATGCCTTAAGTCTTGATCTTTCATAGGATTAATTGAATCTTCATTTGATTAATTTTTCCATTTAAGTTCCTACAAAAGACCTTAATAAATCATTCAATTTATTATTTTTAGTAATCATCAAAATAGAGTATTACAATGACCTTGAACCAACATTAATTAAATTTAAATTCCAAGAATAAAAATCAAAATTGATTGATTGATTAGCCTTTGCATGCATTACCATACAATATTTTAACAGGAGAGCATTTATATGATTGCAAAGTTGATATGGCTCCCCATATTAAAATATTAGACTCGTTATCCACCCTTCATTTATAGCCCTTTTCCAATATACCTCTAGCTGCTAATATATTCTTCCACGAATGATTCTGTTGAAACCCCTCCTATGCATTAAAAAATAAATAAATAAAGAGGAATATGAAAATTATTTAGCCTCCAACAATCTATCTAACATCGAATTAGGATGTTTGATAATTATCCAATCTTCTTTGACAATTAAAATTAAGGTTAGTGAGCTAGCTCAAATAATTGGTCCACTATTCTCTACGAGAAGGAAAGAGTAATACTACATTTAATATTGAATTATTTATAAACAATATCACCACTTGTCTATCATATCAACATCTGGGAATTAATATACTATTATTACATCTTTAAACACAACCAAAATAAATGTTAAACTACCAGCTCAACAATGCAAAGGTGTAAAGATTTCCTTGGGTCGTTACTCATTATATTATTATATATTTATATACACAGACATCAATGTAATTGCATGGAAATGGATAGGTAGATCCCACTCTCTTTGATTCTTTGTGTAGCCGTAATTTGTTCCAAGCTAAGACACGCAATTCGCGGTGCCTTGCAATCACGCTCCTCGCTCCACGTCACCACTTCTTTTGCTTCCTGTCAAATTTTTCTTCGATGTCAAAGATGATGCAATTATTGACACTACCAAAGTTGATTAAATATTCAAGATTTTGGACTCTGGGTCTGGGTCTTTTTACCGTTACTTGGCTGTTTTTGCACTGTTCGGCCTCCTTTGTTGTTTTTGGTGGTTGATCAAGTTTTTGGGTTCAATTCCTCATATGGGTTTTGAATTCCAGGTTAGATTTTCTTTTATGTTCTCTTCTTTCATGTTTTTGGTGTTTTTTTATTTATTTATTTATTTATCTGTGGCTTGTGAAGTTTCACATTCATGTGTTGCTATGGTTGATTAATACCGAAATTGTTGGTTTTGTTGGTCAGATACTAAAACTATGTGTTTGGATTTTATTTGATTGTGTAATTATTTGTGTCAAAATTTGGAAGGGTAATTCAATCTGGGTAGTTTCAGTTTTTCTGGAATTCGCTTGAAAATGTGAAATCTCCATTTTGAAATTTGAGATTTCTGTGGGACTTTGGTCTTGAATTGACCATTATTATTCTACATTAAGAAAAGAAAGGAAAACAAATATGCAATTATTCTGTGCAATTGTTTTGCAAAAATGCAAGTTTTTGCAGACAACATTTGTTCAGTAGTAATCGAAGCATTCTCAAAGTTTGAGAATTCGCGACTTTTTTACAGTAAACTGAGATTAGTAGTTAGTTTATCTGCGTCCTATGACTTCATCTGTTGTGATACTAAAATAAAGCATCTCTTCAGTAGAATTGATGTTCAATGCACAAAGTTTCATTCTTCGATTATTTTTAGTTTATATTTCTGAATTGCTTGTTTTGAAATCATGCAATTTCTGTTCAACTGCTTGACCCTTTAATGGGTTTGTAAATACTATTCTGCTTTCATACTAGATAGATATAGATGTCTCAGTAATGAGAACCATACCTCCATGAAATTAGATATCAGAAATAAGCTGTCAATTAACTCTCTTTCACTTTAACCAGAAAGCATGCTTATAGTTTACGGGTAAATTCTGGTATTTGGCTTAATTATGTCTTCCTAAGAGAATTTTGATAGTGATACGAGCATGGGTAAGTTATTTGTTTCACTATTTTAACACTGCATGGACATCCATTAGGTTCTCTTAATATTAAAAGGAATGCATCCTGCTTTAGGCATCTGCAAGACAGTTTCCAAAATTCACGTTGGAAGTGAAGAGAATGTCTCTTCTTTTATGAAGTTTTGGTAAAAGGCTATATGCTGCTCAGGCATGCATCACATTGAACTTATAATATGTGCAAATCGTATTATTATAATTATTGCAATATGCAAAAAGGCAGACAGTGATAAACTCAAATTTTCAACCTTCTCATTTCTTTATGTAGCCATTTGGGTAATATAGTTTAAATTTCAAAATCAAAGAAACTGTTCATGCCAAAGAGACAAATAATACTTGTTATTTTCACTGTTAATAGTACCTTTCTAATTTTCTTTGTTATTAAGAAATAGTTATTTCATCTTGTGCATTTTCCCCTTCATTATCTTTCAAGGGGGTATTTTCAGTCGCTTTGTCTTTTAGCACCTTGTGTTGTGATTCCTAATTCTCAGCATTTAGTGATGATAACTTAGAATTGAAGAAAAGAAATTGCATAAATTGGATGTTCATGGAGATTGATTTTTTGACAATTATGTTTCACAGGGTAAGCTGACTTCTGAATACCAGAAACTTCGATTAAAGTACTCATTTCACTAGTGCAAGCATTAAAAATTGACCAAATCAATAATGGCTCCTGGGGATACCATCTGTAAGGAGATGATCGAATCATGCATTGCATATGCAGATTATGAAATGGCAACTTCCAGTGCTGATTTACGAGTATCGCCTCTCAGAAAAGCTGCAACTTGTTTAGGTGGAAATCTCAAAACATCATCAACTAGTGATGTGCAGAACCTGCTTGAATGCCCTGTCTGCATGAATTTAATGTGTCCTCCAATTTACCAGGTATGTTTTTTCATTATAAAAACTAAAAAATTTGGAAGATTCTCTTTAAAGAGTCTACTGAGTAAATTAAAACTTTTTTCTTTTAGATGGTTCTTGCTACAATCAAGTTGCAGTTCTAAGTTGTCAAAAATATGTTTGAAGGTCTTGGTTCTTATGGAACATGAACGAAGGGATTACAGTTTTATATTCTAGGAGTAACTGAATTTTCTTGAACTATATATTACTTGTAAAGGATGGAGTATGGACATGGACGCTGGACACAACATTGATAAGACATGGCTATTCTTAGAAAGACATAGCACATCAAATGCCTGTGGTGTAGTGTCGGGTGACGTGTTAGGGAAGTCTCTAACATGGATGTACACCCAACACTAATGTGTCCATGCTTTATAGCTTGTAAATTATGTTACTATAACATTTGTTAGCAACACAATGCTCTTGCTAGTGATATTGATCAAATCCTACCATTGCACAATTAGCACAGTGCTGACAACATAAAAGGATTCATCCATTATCTTTTATTGTAGTGACCAAGTTACTAATTTTCCATGTCAGTGTCCCAATGGCCATACTCTATGTGCATACTGCAAGGCAAGAGTACACAACTCTTGCCCAACTTGCCGTGGAGAACTTGGCAATATAAGGTGCTTGGCTCTCGAGAAAGTAGCTGAGTCACTGGAACTCCCTTGCAAATACCAGATCATGGGCTGCCCTGATATCTTTCCATACTACATCAAGCTAAAGCATGAAAAAAACTGCAAATATCGTCCATACAATTGTGTATATGCTGGAGCTGAATGTTCTGTCACTGGTGACATTCCACTTCTCGTTATGCATCTCAAGAATGATCACAAGGTTGACATGCATGATGGGTGTTCGTTCAATCATAGATATGTCAAATCCAATCCCCAAGAAATTGATAATGCGACATGGATGTTAACTGTAAGATTTCTTTTAAGTAACATTATCTGATTTTCTTATCAATGATTGATTTAATAGTTTCAATGAGTATTGAGGCTCCAAAATTTTCTAGCATTGAAACTGTTCATTTCTTTTCCTTCAGCAAACTTAGTCTTGAAATTTCAAGCCGTTTGGTTGTGTTTTTAACAAAATCATAGACCCTAAATTTTTCAGTAGTGCTCAGGCAACATAGCTAATCACCATTTTTTCTTTTAAAAAAAAAAATCCATTCTTGACTTTTTACTGCTAATTTCAACTGATGCATGTTTGGAGAATGAAAAAGTACAGCCAAAGAATAATATTTAATAGAAAATGGATGTGTGTCTATTCAGTGACATGGTTTCTCATTTTATATAATTTTCAAATCGTAAATGGCATCAGATGTATCTTTGTACCTATTAGTTCATATGGACATCGTATGAGATATTTAAGTGCTAGGTCATGCATTTCTTGGTTGCTGTCTGCTGAGAACAAAAGGCCAGTCATAGAAGAATCTAGATTTTCAATTAATTGTTGAATTCTGTAATCTCTGCAATTATTTATTTTGATTCCCGGCACTCCATTGTAGCATGGTTCTTCTATGGTAATTAATTCCATTTTCACTAATACAAGAACGAGAATCCTTATATATACTCTTAGGACACATTTGGTTCAATCCGAAATTGGAAATGGGATGCAGTTCTTAGAATTGATCCCATTGGTTTGGTTTAAAAAATAATCTGCAATTTTTGTTTTATATGTATTTTATATTTGAATAATTTAAGTTTATATTGCAATGATATGTAGAGTTTAGACATTATACTTAATGTAACCAACAAATTCTTATTTAGTTACTTAAAAACAAGCAGATTCTTTGGATTTAGACATTTATTTTCATCCAATCCTTATGTGAGATAAACCAAACATGCCCCTGGATTTTCCACAGGAGATGAGAAGAAACTACAATTCTGAAGCATAGGCAAGCCATTGGTTATTTTTATCCTATCTTCCTTAGCAATCTAAGAGGAAGACTGACTGTAACTTTACAGGCTCGTACATATAAATTGTTTTGCTTGATGCAGGTCTTCAACTGTTTCGGCCGACAGTTCTGCTTGCACTTTGAGGCTTTTCAAATAGGAATGGCACCTGTTTACATGGCTTTCATGAGATTCATGGGAAGTGAAGATGAGGCTAGGCAATTTAGTTACAGTCTAGAAGTTGGTGGAAATGGCAGAAAGCTTACATGGCAAGGAATTCCCAGAAGCATCCGCGATAGCCATAAGAAAGTTCGAGATAGTCAAGATGGACTTATCATTCAGAGAGACATGGCACTTTTCTTTTCTGGAGGTGATCAACAAGAGCTGAAGCTGAAAGTGGCGGGACGCATATGGAAAGAACAGTGAGATGTATAAACTATACAAACTCCAGCAAGTATAATGCACTCAGAAATTAAGGGTGTGATTTGTAAATAAGTAGCATCAATTTGCAAGATCAGTTTTACCTTAATTTTGACAGCTATATTGTAGCTCTTGAGGAGTTTGAAAATAAGAAAGGATCCATATGGTATTATACTGCTATGAGTGTGGAAATGGCGGGTTGAGTCAAAGTCAAAATCAATTAAAACTGAATAAATTTATTAGATTTTACAAAATATAATTGATTTGATTCGATTTGGTTTTATCCTTTTAACTGATTTCTGCTCAATCTAAGACTATACCAACTGATTTCATTATCTTGTCACGGTAACTCTGTAGCATTGACTATTTAACACTCCGTTTAATATTTGTGAAGATAACTTAGCTACCTACCTATTAAAAATAATTTCCTCATGTATGTCTGAAATAAAAAAATAAAAAAAAGAAGAATCATAAAACTCAACATAACTACGCAAAATCTTTTTATTGCGCGCATATATTCGTATAAAGGGCAAAAGTCTTATAGATTTGTATTTATTTCAAGCCATAAATATGGCTTAAGATGGATTTTGTGTGGTTGCGTTTCCTTCTAGGTTTTCTGCTTTCTGTAGCACTGATGCCGATTGGATTGTGATAGCTGAGTTCGTGAGATTTCAAATTGAGAGGCAAAGAAAAAAAGGTGAATTATTTAATTTGATTAGCTGACACTTTTCTTCCTTCTTTATTTGTTTTTCAACTGTGTTGTCTATTCTCTGAATTTTACGGGTTATATCAATATCACCCCATTTTAAGCTTAATTTCTAGACATTTGAAAATTTTATAATTATTGTACCTTAATCTAAAATCGGTGTCTAAAAAATTAATAAATAATACAAATGTGAGCCCACACAATGACACGAGAGTTGAACTGAACTCCTAACTCACATCAAAACTCACCGTTTGAATTTAAAAATGCAAAAACCCTAAACGCAAAAAAACTCTCACAATCGCAACCCCTGTCCCCAAAGTCTCTAACTCCTTGGTTTTTTGTACACATAGATTTAGCTTTTTTTCTCTAAATTGCAGGACTGTTCCTCATGATTGCTGCAGATTATTTTAGCTTGCATGTGGGTTTATTATGATGAGAATTGATTCTTTTTCTTGTTGAAGGAATACAAGAAAAGACCAACACGAGAGAAATTAAACCCAATTTTTATTTTTCATTTCTAGTCATGGAGGCTACAGAGATTTAGCAAGCATTTTAGTTTTTAGCAGTAATTTAAGGTGACTTCCTGGACAGTCTAATTATAACAATTTCAGGTGAGTTCATAAAATTTTCATTTAATCTTTAATTTCCTTTTTGTTTTCTAAATATGTATCTAATTATCTTTTTCTCTTGGGCAATGACTTTAAGGTGGTGAGAATTACTTTATGCTGAGGAATATATCAAGAGCAGTGACCAGCAAACAAGCTTCAATGGCTGATCACAGCGCTCAATTACCTTCAATCCAAAATCAAACAAAAAAAAGATCCATCTTTCTTGAATTCTTCAAAGTTCAAAGTTTTAACATTGAGTGTTTTCCTGAAGTTGAATCTGTGATTAGTCCTACCGCAATCATTGACTCTACTAAACTTCTCTCTTACCAAAAACCCATTTTCGTACGACAAGAACCCGCCTAAATCCACCAAAAATTCTTCAGAAACCAAACACCCAATTTCGCTAACTGATTTTTGGGACAGGGGTTGCTATCGTGGGAGTTTTTTTGTTTAGGGTTTTTGTATTTTTTTTTAAGTCCAAACGGTGCGTTTTGGTGTGAGAGTTAGGGGTTGGGTTAGTTTAACCCTTGTGTCAGTGTGTGGGCCCATATCTGCATTGTTTATTGATTATTGGGACATTGATTTTAAATTAGGGTACAGTGATAACAAAATTTTCAAAAATTTTCAAATTGAAATGTTCAGAAATTAAGTTGAAAATGGGGTACAATTAATATAATCGGCAAAGTTACAAAACAAGATTTTTAACATAATAATAAATATAATCACATAAATAAAATTAAATAAATCCATAAACAATAAATAATATCAAATATTTTTAAATAATATTTTCATATTTAATAATAAAACTTTATTTACAAAACAAAAATAAATATTTTATTTTTTATTATCCATTTTGTAGGTAAGAGGTGATCTAGTTAACTTTAGATTTAATAGTTTAAATTTAAAATTTAAAATGTAATGATAGATAAGAATTTTGCATCAATACAAAAAGTTTAACTTTTATACCATAGTTTTATTCTAGGCTTTTACTACAGTAAAGAATTTAAAAAGTCTGTACTAATACAGATACACTCTTTTGGTGTCATTTGACATGCTAACTTATTATAGCAGGTAAACTTTACTTTTTCTTTTTTCTTTTCAAATTTCCTTTTTTTAAAACTTTTAGAAAAATTTTTTGTAATTATGTATTTATGAAATAATGATATGCTTTCACATAAAAAATAGATGAATAAGAAGTCTTAATACGAATATTAAAATTTTTGCAAATATTTAACGGTAATAAATAATTTTTTTATAAATGATTTTAATTAATATCATTTATTAAAATATTTATAGATTTGAGTTATACAAATTGAAATATGTATTGATTTAAATTTTCAAAAGATTATTATTGGTGTTTCACACATTATGCGATTTATAATACCAGTAATGATATAATTAAAATTTTTCGTCATTTTTTTAGTTAACACTAAGTTTGTATTAACTAAATACATTTTTGAGATTATAAAGGTAATTTTGATAAATAAAATAATTTTCGATTCTTTTTGAAATACCACAATAAAATTCAACTTAAATGACTAGAATTACAGGTATTATAAAGTAATTTTAGTATAATAATCATGCTATGAGTCATATTTTAATTAAGTATTATAATATGTACAAAAATTATCATGAGCATCACAAAAATTTTAAAATTTGAAAAATAGTATTTGTATGATTAATATTTTTTTCAGGAAAATGTATTTTAGAGGAAAAATATTCGTTTAGTATAGTCTTTGTGTTAATTGTTTATTAAAAGGATACTTTATATTTATTGTTGTTAAATAGTTTGAATTGGTATCCTTTGAATCAACAAAACAAGATTTTAAACATAATAATAAATATAATTATATGAATAAAATTAAATAATCCATAAACAATAAATAACCAGTTTATTTTTCAAAAAAAAAAATAAATGACCGATTTAGTTATCAAATATTTTTAAATATTATTTTCATATTTAATAATAAAAATTTAGTTACAAAATAAAAATAAAAATTTTATTTTTTATTATCTATCTTGTAAGTAGCAGGTCATCTGGTTAACTTTAGATCTAATGGTTTATAATTAAATATTTTAAATCTAACAGTAGATAAGAATTCTGCATTAATACAGAAAGTTTAACTTCTGTACTGTAGTCCTATCTCTTATTCTAATTTTACACTTTTATTAATTTTTTAGAGCTCATACTTACTTTTTTATTGGTTAAATGCTCATACTTGGATGGGTAAAACTACTGTACAAAAATGCAAAATTCTGTATAGATACAGAAATAGTCAACTTCCATTAGATTTAAACTATTTAAATACGGACCATTAGATATAAAAAATATTTAATAACTTGCTATCCATAAAACCTGTAATTCCTTATTCATGTATTATTTAGTTATATCTATATATCTATATATATATATATACTGTAATTTCCTTATTTCATGTATTATTTAGTTATTAATCTATATATCTATATGTATATATATATATTATAATATATAAAAGATCAGACTTAAATTACTTTATATGGCATTGATTTACTATGAAACTTAATTAGTTGATGTGGAATTTTATTATTTTAAACAATTACTAAAACTTTAAAATTATTAAATACTTTTATTTAATTATCCTAATTTGAAGAAATCTAAATTATAAACTTTCATTTTCTTTTATTTCATAATTAATAATTAATAATAAATACTATTCATAATTAAAAAAATTTTATTTTTTTTCTTTGTTGAATAATTAATCAATAAAATAATAGATTTTATATTAATAATAGAATATAATTAATTTTTTCAATTAATTAATAACCACACTATGAATTAAATGTAAATATTTTATATTTTATTATTTTATAATTTAATTATCATCTAATTTTTTTTAAAAAAAATATTAATTCTCTTTTGAGTACCATACATATAATTATACATCATCTCCTTAATTAATAATACAAATTATTTTTTTATGTTAAACATATTTTTAGATAGAGATAATCTTGAGCAAAAGATATCTATGATTAATGATTCCTTAAGAGCTTATTTGGAACAAATGAAGTCCACAAAATTTTGTGGAATTCATATGAAAATCCAAAATGTTGTGTTTGGAATAAAAAAATACAGATTTAAATTGTACGAATTATATGGTACGAATTATATGGAATCAAATGTACCTAACTCAAATTCTACTAAATTGATGGAATTTGTAAATTAATTTTAAAAATTAACCATTAAAATATTTATTAACAAAATTACCCTCCACTATAAATTTAATTATTTTTATTTTTTTTCCTTTTTGTTTATTTTCTTTGAAAAATTCTAAACTATAACAACGTTATTTTTTTTAATTCAAATAATGACGTTAGTTTATATTTTTATTTTTTTTCCTTTTTATTTTTTTTTAAATTCCAAATCAATAGTGACATTTTTTTAAGTCTATTAATGTCACGACCCATTTCCATGGACCGGACCGGCACTAGGACCTGGGTGGGCTTAAGGCCCCCGAAGCCCGTAGTAAGCCTATATTATGCAAACTTCATATGCAGACTTCTTCCTATTCATAAACTCGTGGATGCAGGCGCCAATAATTATTTTCAATTAGTGTATCACAATACAGTTCATATAAACTGGAATACAATTGCGGCGGAACCTACCTTTACATTTACTTCATTATTTTCTCGATTAACAGTCTTCTTATAATTAATGTTTCAACTCCATCAGGACTCTTCTTTCTGTCTCCATTACCTGGAAAAAACAAATAGGTAGCAGGGGTGAGCGCCAAACTCAATGAGTAGATTAATTAACCCCTCACCCCACACAATCCACACAGAATGCTAAAATATTTTAATGATGGTCACCCGTTTAGTTATTATGA